GCCATTTAAAGTTTGATTTAAACAATCACATCAGATAGGGCAGAAACTGAATCTGATTACGGTTAAAATAGGGTTGTTTGGTCGGATTTGATGCATCGGTAATTCGCTATGATTTGAGATTTTAGGTTTGAAATTGATGAAGAGTAATTTGGCCCGATCTGTTAGTATTGATGAAGAGTAATTTGGCCTGATCTGTTAGTATGCGGACACGTGTTACAACTTGATGATTGGACGGAAATTCAACATTTTCAGCCATCTCAGTAGGCCAGGTCAGGTCGAGCATCTCAAGAACCTTGGTCAGGGTGTCTCGAGCACCTTGGCCAAGGCCGAGGTTTGAGTAGCTCGTGGTGTCCCAATCTGTCGAGGTGTTATGTAGCTCACTTCTAGAAGCTAGCCATCTATTTCCAACCTTTTCGGGATCACACCGCATGTCTACGAGCCTTATCCTTATCCCGCCTGGATTGGATGGACTCGATAAGCCTTATTGGCTCACACGAAATTCGGCCCTCTCCAGGTGTGAAGTAGATTCTAGGTAGCACGGGTTGGGGATCTCGGATGTTTTCCTCGAGGCTTACGATAGCTCGCCTATATAAGGACATCACCACTAACCTTATAAGATACGTGCGATTTAGCTTTCTAGCTCTCTTACTCACAAATCTTTCAAGCTCACAACTACACTCTTCGCTAACTTAAGCATCGGAGTACCCACACCGAGTAAAGCACCCCAGGTTCTCTGATCGTGTTCTCTTGCAGTTTGATCGTCCACATAAGTAGATCCGAGCTGCCATCCAACTAAGAGCGACCAGATCGTGCACCACCAGTTCCTATAGTCTCTTTTGAATTAAAAAAAAGAAAATCTACAATCTCTTTGCAACTTGATTCTAAGATTAGGTAATAGATTTCGTGGAATGACAAAAATTCATGTAATTAGGGTTTAACGGTGATGGGTAAAACCGACCTCGAGATAATTGGACACGTGATAATATAGGAGAGGTGTAGTTTGTCCCGCGAACCAAACTTCAACGGTCTAGTGCAACCTTGGGTCCACCTTAGGAGGTTACAGTTCACCTCGCCCAGTTATGTGTAACTTGTTCACCAAGGAGACGCGAGCTATCCTGAACTATCACTAAGACCTAACCAACTAATAGTTGGAAAGTCAACCGAGCTACCGATTGGAAGAGGTAACTTTGCCAAGATGAGCTATCTAGAGGGAAACCTCCAAACTTCACCATGTGTCCAGGAGGCGACCATTTGGCAATCCCATGCAGCAAAGTCACCAACACGTATGCCAGCCCCGTCATTTAGTGAGCCCCGAGCCCACTCCATGCATCAGCAATGTGCCGAGCAGGTCAACTAAGCATGTTACACCCAAGCCCCAGGTGGCTTGACCATGCGCCAAGTGGCCCTGGCCGAGCTCTAGGTGTCTTGACTGATCTCCAGGTGTTCAAGCCAAGCTCCAAGTGTCTCACAAGACCGACAAGTGTCCTCCACCTATCCAACACGTATGCTCCCGACATGCATCCAAAATCTATATAAAGGGAAAATTAGCATTCAATTCATATTTTATGCCTCAATAAATTTTCACCTACCTTACTTTGGATAGCTCGGCCATTGACTTGATCGTCGGAGTTTTGAGCCTGGAATATCACCTCAGGACCTTTGACTTCATTTCTCTTCTTGCAGGCGAATTCCAAGCTACTCCAAGGACGCCACCGGTTTTGATCCACATCAAGCGGAATTTGCAACTCTGCACCTTTGATCTGCTCATCTGTTCATCGAAATTCAGGCAATGCTTGGGAGGATTAAGCTTTGGTCAGCTAAAAGATGTTTTAGGACCTGTTTGGGAGGATTAAGCTTTGGTCAGCTAAAAGATGTTTCAGGACCTGTTTGGGAGGGCTGGAGCTTTGATTCAGCTGCTCTCCTTGAGCTGCTTTGGAGATGCCACTAAGAGCCCATTTGGAAGGGCTTCAATGTTGATTGAGCCAATTTTGAGAAGTTACTAAAAATAGGCTTTCACTGTAAAGTTGACTTTTCAGCACATGTAAGTCTATTTTTGGCTTTCTAGGTTTTTCATCAAATATGGTTTCATGGCTTTCTGTGTGCGGCCTTGGAAAGTGGAAGCTGATGCATGAAAGCCCTTGCAAATGGGCACTGGGAGGATTTCTGCATTGATTGAGCTACTTCGAGAAGCTACATAAGTTTCATAGGGAAAGTCAACTTTTTGGCTCATGTAAACCTATTTTCGACTTTCCAATTTTTTTACCAAATATTTCTTAATGGCTTTCTGAAGCTACATAAGTTTCATTGAGAAGCTGCTGCATGAAAAGTTGAAAACCCGACCAAATGGGCACTAAAAAAATTCAGCCAGAAATAGCTGAAAAATATTAATTTGAACTTCCAGAATTTTCACTAAACATAACTTATGGGCTGGGCTGTCTGGGTGAGGCCTAACTCATAAAGTCAGAATCCACTACATGACAGCCCTTTCCAAGGGGACTCAACAGAAAGCCATGTAAGTGGCTGAATCATATTCAGTTTGGGCTTTTTTTTTTTGGATTTTTTCACCAAACAATACTTGGTATTTTTTTCGGTGGATCCCACCTCACAAAACCAAAAGAAGCAATGCAAAAGTCCCCCCAAAGGAGAAAACTTTAGCTGTTGCCTGTTGGGGAGCTTATTCTGCATGAGACGTCAACCCTTGGTCGAGAAAATACTGAGGGCAACTACTCTTTTACCCCACACCCTTCATGGTGTGGGGAGCTTATTCTCCGATTCCCAACCGCCAATTTCTTCGCTAAGTTTTGGTTTGAAGGAAAAAATAGGAAAATGAAGGAAAAGATAGAAAACCTTTACATACCTTATATGGATTTTATACCTTTCCCTACTTTTTCCTTCAAATTAAAGCAAACACAGCCTAAGATTTTAATTAGGGCGAGAATCAGTTTAATTAACCAGCAAGTCTGAAACTCTGAATAGGTATATATATAGAGAGAGAGAGAAAAAATTTATTTTTTTTCTTTGATAAACAATAGAACTATGAATTAACTCGCCTTAATGGATTCTTATTCACTGTTAAACAATATACAAATCAATGGCAACCAGCCAACCAAGCAAGTTATGTGTTTAATCTTTTCCTTATAATTAAGTGTTTAATTTTTATTTCAGTGAATTTGCAAATTAGATCCACATAAAAATATCAATACATAAGTTAAGAGGATTGCCGCCATAAACTTAATGAAACACTGTCACAAATCGAATTAATTAATTATGAATCAATTCTTTCCATTTGGGGCCATCAGCACCCAATCTACGAACCAGAATGGACCAAATTAAGCTCTGAACTTGAACCAAGACAAACCAGTTTTCCTACTAAAACTTAAACTTGGGTCAGGTTGAAAACTTTTTCAGCCAGACCCACAACATTGAAACAGCAAACCCACATACATCACCAACTGATCAAAAGAAATCCCAAAGCAGTTGGGTAACTTGAGTCAGTTGCAATTAAATAGAAGAAGCATGTTTCTGGTAACCAATATCAATATTTTATGTGTTATCCCTGTTTGACAAGATTCTTGATTATGAAAATCCATCAATCGGAAGGCAACGTCACATTACATACTAGTTGAAAGACTGGTGCATAATGTCAAGAACGTGGAAAAGATCTTGTCTAGAACAAGAACGACATCCGTTTCCAAAATCAATATTCTTCCTTTTGAATCCACAAAGACCCACTCTAGGGGGGTGTTCTATGATTTTGTTTTTCAAAACTGAAAACAATTGCCACATCAGCAAACGTATATTGGTTTTGCTGATATGGCAACTGTTCTTCTTTTGAAACTAAAATAGGGAAATTGTCTAAAATTCCCATGAGTTTTCAACATTTTTCTTAAAATCATCACAACTTTTCAAAATGTCTAAAACTCACCATGTCAATAAGTTTTTATTTTCCAAAACTCACCATCCGTTGGTGCACCGTTAATGCTTCTCAACAGAGGTGCCCATGTCAGCATAACTAACAATTTTCATGACCAAATTACCCTTGAATGGTGGGTTAGAGGAAAAATGGTATTTTTCAGTTTTTAATTTTCTTGTTTTTTTTTTTGCATTTTAGTGTTTTGTTATAATTTTCAATGTTTTTTATAATTTCTGTTTTTTTTTTTACATTTTTCTATTTTCCTGTATGTTTTTTATTTATTTGCAATTTCTGTGTTTTTCTATAATTTTTGGTGTTTTTTCTACAATTTTTATTTTCTGATTTTGTTTTTCAATTTCTATAGTTTCTATAATTTGAAAATAAATTTTTATTTTGTTTGAGACTTCTATATTTTTTTATATTTTTTATAATTTCTATGTTTTTATGTATTTTATAGTTGAAAATATTTTTTTGAACTTTTCCTTTTTTTAATATAGTTGAAAATATTAAAGTGGTAATATATTACCACCCATTAATTTATTTTGTATATATTTTATATTTTTCTATGAATGTTAAATTGACAATATATTAACACCCCTTAATCTGTTTAATGTCAAGTTAGTGACATGGTGTGTTTTAGACATTTTGAAAAGTTACAGTGAATTTAAGAGAAATATTAAAAAGTCCTAGTGAGTTTTAGACAATTTTCCATTAAAAATAAAACCAATCATGTTGTCGAACACTCCCTAAAACTCTTGGTAGTTAATTGTTAATTAAGTTTTCATATCACGAATTACGAATTGAATTGAATGAATTGCTTCTTGGGTTTATATAACCATTTAATTTGGTTTTGAGAAGGCCAAAAGAACTTGAGTTTGAAAGGTGAAGCCCTCGGGTCAATCCAAAGCCCAACTCCCTTTGCCCAAAATAACCCAAGTCCGCAATTACTGCTCACCACCACTTTCCAATCAAATCCCACTTCATGTTTCATCATGGTTCATGCACTTGACTTTCAACCCCCCCCCCCTCCCCCATTTATTCCTGCAACAACTCTTCCATTAGAATAATCCCACACTTACAGCTCACCCTCTTCACCCTCCATTAATACTCTGCAATTAAGCAGGCCAAAGGAAGAGAATCCTTTCCTTAAAAAATCAGATAAACTATGAAAAAGAAGATAACTCACCCTTTTAAAGCTACCAACCTCTTCTACATTGCGCAGGGCCTCTCATGAAGGATTTCTGGGTTTCATCTGATCGATGAGATTTCTAATTAAGCACCAGCAAGTGAGCTTTTCCGTGGTTTCCATTCTTGGCCTCTGAGAAAATTGGCTTGTACTTTGAGTAATGGGCAGAAGCATTTGAATTTTAATGCAAAAGTGTAAGGAAAGGATGGGAGTGTACTCAGTTCTTTCCATCTTCTTTATGTTTCCTTTTTTTATGCTTATCTCTGTTCTTGCTCCAATTCTAACAGGAGATTTTTGTTGTATCAAAGTAGCTAGAGGTTCTTTTTTTTTTTCTACTCTAGAGATTTTTAATTAAAAAAATGTTTTCTCCTTTTGTTTTTCCCTTGAAGGATGGGAAAGGGCTATTTTATTAATTGAGAAGATATGATATGAACACAGGGTTAGGTGGAGAGAGGCTATAAGAAGAGGTGTTATCAGTGGCCTGAGGTTTCAGTACCAGAAACAAAAGCCAAGACAAGGATTTTGCTGTTATTTATCGGCCGGTTGGCTACTTAGATTGCTAGCTAGTGTAGTTTAGCCTTCACAGTCACTCAGCAATAATACCCATCAACATGGCTTCATCAAACAGACACTGGCCTAGCATGTTCAAGTCCAAGCCATCTCACCACCAATGGCAACATGACATCAACCCATCTCTCATGTCAAGTCCATGCCAGAAAGCCCCATACGCATCAGGTAATCAATCACAACAAATCAACCTTTAAACTTCTCTTTCTCATCTTGTTAATTGTTATCATTCTCTTCTGTCATGGCCGACCCTTCTCAAGTTCAAAAACAGTAGGTATCTGCTCTCCTTCCACAGACCCATCTCAGTCCTTGAATCATGAATGGAAATGTCTTATTACTTTGATCTAGTTTCAGTACTCTACCCCTGCAATCTGTGTCTGCTTTCCTATATTTATCTTCGTAGTAGTACTGTATGACAGTAACCCCAGTCTGTTTTTGCCTTTTTATAACATGCTTGCTTCTGGGTGGGTATTCATGATAACCCACAAAATCTTTCACGTACAGAATAACATACAGAGAGAGAGAGAGAGAGATTGTAGTTTCTAATGAATGTGTATTCGGTTGCAGTGACGGGGTGCGAAGAAAGAAGCCCGGAGCCGAAGCCGAGATGGAATCCCAAACCGGAGCAGATACGCATACTCGAAGCGATATTCAACTCAGGAATGGTGAACCCGCCAAGGGATGAGATAAAGAGGATAAGAGCTCAATTACAGGAATACGGCCAAGTCGGCGATGCTAACGTCTTCTACTGGTTCCAGAACAGGAAATCGAGAAGCAAGCACAAGCAACGTCACCTCCAGTCTGCAAAAGCCCAGACTCTTCAAACTATTCCGATCACCACCGCCCCAGCCACTACCGCTGTCCTCCCATCGTCTTCTTCCTCTTCATCCGAGAAGTCACCTCCAAGAAGAACCGATAAGACTCCTCCAATGGGTGGGACAAATATGATTGAGGCATCGAATTCTCCAACGGCTTCCGTTAACCAGACTTACTTCCACCCTCAAGTGGATTTCCAGCCGGAACCCTTCCTCTTTCCGGTGCAACCACCACCGTCTTTTTCGCAGGAATTTTGCTTCTCCGAGCTATCGAACGTCGTTCAAGCCTCTGACTCTGATCATCAACTGACCTGGCCTTGCTCAGGTGGTCTGCTTCTCAATGATATAATCAATCAAGGAGCTTCAAAGAAGGATGATCAAGTTAAGATGAAACCAACCCAGCAGTTTAACTACAGCACCATCTCTACTGCACCAGTCACCAGCGCCATTGCTTCTACAACTACTGCAACTCTCAATCAGATACAAGGTGTGTATTATGATTTCTGTGTCTTCACTGCACTGGATCCTTATTTTCTCTACATTATGAATAAATAATTACAAAATAGATCAACATAGGAATAAGAATATATGTTTCGTCCTTGTTTTCATGAAATCTTGCAAGCATGGGAATTCATGTTATCGGAAGAGAAAGAGCCAAGGACGTGTTTGTCAATTTTAGAAGTAGAACGAGGCTACAAGGGTCTTTTAAATTGAATTACGCTTTTCGAGATAGGACGTGTGCATGGCTAGCTGATTGACCGCTGCATTGGGTTTTGCTTAAGACTCGAAGCCCGTCACCAGACTTTTTTCTCTATATTTTAATATCGTTTCGTTTCGTTTCGTTTTAATGATTCTGCGTTTTCAGGGGTTGACGAATCAGGTGGTATGATTCCGGCTGCTGTGGCGAAATCAACGGTGTTCATAAACGACGTGGCGTTCGAGGTGGCGATGGGACCCCTGAACGTGCGAGAGGCTTTCGGGGAGGATGCCGTCCTCGTCCACTCCTCCGGCCTGCCGGTCATCACCGACGAGTGGGGCGTCACCCTCCAGGCCCTCCAGCACGGTGCCTTCTACTATCTGGTTCGCGCGGTAACCATTCCTCACCTGACCTCCCCAAACAACGGAATTAGTCTTTGAACAAGTGTTGAATGGATTTGAAATCCATGGTGTTTGAGTTCTACAATGATTGAGGGGGGTCCATGTGAACGAACCTGCAACTTCATTTAAAGTACTGTAGCTCGGTAGCCATCTCATATTCAGAGACGTTTAAGCTGGAGTTGACATAGACATGCATGCTCATAACTCTTATCTTTATCTCTGTCACTCTCTCTGATATGTTATTTTATAATTAAAAGGTTCATAGAAATTAATGTCCAGATGTGTAGCGTAGCTCTTCTGCTTTAGTTTATTTATTGATTGATTGGTGAACTTTATTTCAGGTTTAAGAGGGCCGGCCAGATGAGGAGATGGGGTTGCATCAATTGATGAGCTGCTTGTTGTTCTTGTTTCTGGTTTTTTTTTTTTTTTTTGTGTGTGTATTAGGTCTTCTGATATAGGATTATGGTTTAAGGACCCTTGATTATGATTGTAATGATAAAAAGTGAACGGAATTAATTGTTAAGGCTGATAATATATATAGTATATACACATGGTGAAGTGATGATACATATCATGTGTGATATCAAGGATTTTACAGGTATCCAACAGTGGGGAAGTGATGATATCATCATCTTTGATGTCTGTCTTGCTTTTCTCTCTGGATAGTTAATTTACTTCTAAATTTAGGTCATCTGCAATATCTTGTGGTACAACAACAACTGTAGTTGGTTTTGCCTGTTTTATTTACCTTCTCTCTCTCTCTCAACTTTCTTATTCCAAACATAGCCTAATGTAATTCAGCAAGGTCTAAGTGACCCATAATGGTAAATATGTTACCAGGGATTCATTTGGGAGAGTGATCTAAGCTTGAACTGAAACGGAGTATGGACATGGCCGGCCGTTTAGAGTTATAAGATGCATATATAATTGTGCATGCAGCTATTTATGTCGAAATATATATAAAAATAAATAAAACTAACTGTTATTAGTTCTAGTTAATTAACTTATCAAATTCTTTGTCTTATTTCCTACTTATAAATCTGATTTGGGGTTAATTAATTAAAATCAATTACAAAATAGACATGAAGCCAAAAAAATTACAAAAAGAAAAAAAAATCTGTAGTTGGAGTTATTTGATGATTGAAGACTGAAGTAGTTCGCATTAGTTATAGTTATGGGGGTTCCCAATTAACAGGCCAACTTCCAAGTTGAAGAGGGAAAGAAAGAGTTAAATGCTGTCATCACGAACATTGGTTGTCAGTTTGTCACGAATCCCTTAAATCGTAACAAAACAAAAATAAACAGATATCTTGTGCAAATAACAAAGAGTTAAATGCAAAGAAAAAGAGAGAGAAAAAGAGCTCTCATCTGCAGCAGAATGACGAGTTTTAACTGTACGAATATGGTGAAGGTTGTTCGAAAGTATATATGGGACAATTTATATTTGATACGCAACATCTCGCTTTGTTGCTTGCTAAATCCTTGCAACAAAGAATTGAAGGAGCTAGGTGGATTTGACTGAGCCAGGTGAGAAGGAAGGAAGGACGGAATTAATTCTTCACCGAATAGTGGCAGTGAGTCCGACTGTCGGAGTCTGATGAAAGAGCTAGGCGTCTGACGTCTTTACTCACTGTAGCTAGACTGTAAACGAGAGAGTAGTGTCTGTTAATTTGTTGTATTTGAAGAAAATTGATGAGCTAAACGTAAACGGAGGTGAAGGTGGGTGGTGGGTCCGGTCAGTCAACATGGTTGAGTGATGCAGGGTATTTACGTAAATTACGTGCCCACTGGCATCAACAGTGGGAGTTGAGTGAAAGAAAAGAGATAATTCATCATCCATCTGCAAGAATTTCCTCCCTTTCGTTTGTGAAACGTCACAGTCCGTGATTTTCTATCCTCTTTTTTCCTTGGCCATTGTGAATGAACCATCATCCATCAACCCTCAGAATGAATGCTGATGAATCGTTATCAATCTATCATCACCAAACCATCCCCCCATCTCTCCCTCTCTCCGACTCTCCGTTTAATCCATATCCATACAGCCATATTCTTTTTGTGTAATAGGATTTCTGGGTAACCAAGAATTCTGTTCTGATCCTCTACAGTTCTACTACTCGTAATATATATTCGGCCAATCACAGTGCACCATTTAGGCTCTGTATGTATACCTCCCACATGCCAAGCTGACGTGGTTTATCCCATTGGTGCAGTATTGTTCTATGAACGCCCTTGGTAGTCATAAAAGCTCTAATACCATCTCAACGAACTGTTCAGCCTAAAACCTTAAGTCGTTATTAAATAGTTTTTTATTCTCTACAACGCTCTCTCAAATAATGAATGCCTAAACAAACACAAAGGCCCACTCTCATACCTAAAAGTTCAAGAATTTTAGAAATTATAAAGGGGTGATTTGATGAGCATGAAACAATAAACCATTTGGTCAAATAGGCTCTGATACAATCTTATGGAACCTTCCAACTTAAAAGTTCTTAGCCCAAGGCTATGCCGACTAGCATAGCTGATTGTGTATATTGGGTATCTTGATAGTGAAGTTAGTTGAGGTATAATTAACGGTCCTGATTTTATCTGTGTTGCAGGCTTTTGCCCCTATTTTGGATCTGGTTCAATTTAATCCAATGAATATTTTGGACCATTTTGGATTGGTATCAGATCAATCCGATCCAATCTAATATAAATCCATTATGGTTGGATCAGGTCCAATCCAATCCAATAAATGCTTTGGACGACCATGAAGTCTGGACTAGTCCAATTCAGTATTTCTCATTGATCCGTCCAATCCATCAAAATTGATTTTGATTTGGATGGGTTCAACCCCAAACTGATCCGTTGACACCCCTACTGATGCCCTTGATTTCTTACTTGTTCAACAAGTTTAGTCTTCGGTTATATTTTCACTTCTTTTGCTGCATGCATTTCTCATTCTTGTAATCTGAGCATTTATTTATCAATGAAATCTGCCTATATGGCATCAAAAAAAAAGTCGGTAATAGAAATTAATATGGACATGGGGATGGACGGCAGAACAGGGTGCATGTAAGGACTGGCCCTATGTGGCCAATATGGTCCAATAATGTTTATATTTATCTTCTTTGTAAAATTGATTTAATCTTGTATATTTATTATAGAGTCATAGGTTAAAGAAATGTTTTCAAAACAGGACCAGACTGGACAGTCCAAACTGCTGATCCAGGTGATCAACCATTGATCCGAACAACAGTTAAGTATTTGCTTCATAACTATTAGCTTACTCCCAAACAAATAACCTTTTTCATAAAAGATGAAACAAATAAGACAATGTCAAATATGAAAATTCAATTTGCAAAATTGCCTATTTCCAAAGCTAGGATTGGGAATCTACATGCAGATTCTTTCCCATTTTTTCACCCCTCCCTAACAAGCAAATCCATCTCTTTTCTTTTTTGTTAAAACAAATCCATGTGCAGAGATAGAACACAGGCCAGTAATAAAACTGGTTAGCAAACAGATACCGGATCTCCTCCCCACAAACACTCTGCACGCACGAAGGGTTTTGTGGGAAGAAAATCCGGGCTCTAGCGAACAAGCTTGCAAACTGCATCCATATCCATCCTTGCAATTATAGTGAAGCATTTCTTTCTACTTTCTTACAAATTATCTTTACGCAAAAACCCAAGAGTCTCATTGGCAGTGGCAGAGAGAGAGAGAGAGAGAGAGAGAGAGAGAGAGCGCTTAGCACCTTCAGGTCTCCCAACGGAATGATATAAGCACCAGTGCAAATTTGGTTGTTAATTTGTTAATGTAGAAGAGACCTTTCAACAATCCAAAAAAAAAAAAGACAATAATATAGCTTCCAGCAAAGCATGACATATGGTTCCTCTGTACACCAATAAAGAATGAGAAAACATCCAAATTGCCAATATTTTGTTAAAGAAAATTCGAGGAATTAGTTAAACAACAATAATAAAACTAATGAGATGACACCTATGCGAACTTTTCCATTATTAGTCCACTGTAGATTCATCCTGCAGTGCTTGAATGAATGTTGAATGAGTTTTTGTACAACGGGAGAGAGAGGGAGAGAGAGAGAGAGAGAGAGAGAGAGAGTTTCCCCCACATACTGAGGGATAAAGTGATAAACAATGAATAGTTTGAACAGTGAGAAAAGGTGTGAATATGTACAGAACAGGAAAAAAATAACGGAAAACATAAGATTGGGTGGGTTGGGGTCTCAACTCGCCTCTATCCATCCTTGCTATCCACAGCCAAAGCTGTAGTTTTGCATATGGGACACACATTCTTCACCAAAAGCCATTTTCTTATGCAATCTGCATGGTATTCATGATCACAGCTGAGAGTGCCAATCTTCTCCTGGTTCTCATAGTTAACCTGTAACTCCAAACAACCACAATCATACACCACAGCTGAGAGTGCCAATAGCTTTTCTCTTATGAGAAAAGCTATTTGCATGAGAAAAAATAACACTACCTGGCATATAATGCAGGTCTCAGTCTCCTGATCAGTGCTTGGTGGCTCATCCAAATTTAAATAGACTGGTGATGAAGCATGAGTTCTTGTTTTTAGTTGCCTTGTGATGATTTCCTCTGTCAATCCAGTATTGACATTACCAATCCGTTCCTCCAAGGCAAGCAGCTCCTGCAGCAATTGAATCAATTAAAAACACTTGCTCATAGAAATATGGAACTGAATTTTTAAATGGAATTAAATGTTTTAAGAAAGCTTATTGGCTCAAATCAAAATACAGAAGCATGACACGTAAAAAATCAAATGGAAATTAAAAGTAAACAGTTGTGGGTTTCACCAAAATGCTTCAATAGCTACAATGATGATAGACGTCCTGCATTCCTAATCCTAGGAGATTGGGGCCTTACCAAAGGCAGAGGGTTGATAGGCCCATATATATGAGGTTATTTTTCATAGAAAATATATGTGAGGGGGTTGGGTATTATATGTTTTGGTTACCATTCCACACATGTCTAGGCCAAGGCATAAGGCAGCCAAGCATCCACCTCTCGAAAGGGGCATTCCCTAGGTTCAAGTGAGGCACATGCCTTAAAATGTGCCTTACCTGTCTGCCTTTTAAAACACTATTTCAGAGCAAGCATTTCTTAGTTCATCTTTTAAATCTAAAGAACCTCTCTTCCAGGAAACAGTGCTTTTCTTTCTATTTGATGTTATCCTAAAATGTTCACTCTGTTCCATCCTTGGTGTAAAATTTGTAATGATTTGTTCAACTTACCTCATAAGACATGTGATCTATATCCAACCTCATATCACTATGATGATCAATAAAATCCCCCAGGCCTTGAAACTCTAGTATAGCAACATCCTACATTCATGATAAGATTTGGTCAATTGCCAGTTAATATGAACAGCTCATTGGAACTGCATTAACAGATAAGAAAGGTCAACCATGTAAACTGGTATCAACATAACATGGAGAAAGCAAATTACATTATCTGAAACAATTCTAAAACGAGGTCTGTTTCCCTCTTCTGGAGCAGCCTGAGGTACTTCCCTTCTGTTAGGTCGGTATATCCTAAAGCCAGTTGGTAGGAAGGGCCTCTGAGACCTAGGCCCTGGCACAACATCATTATGAGATGGATTCAGACTGCTCTGGAGCAAGGTGCTATTCAATGGATGCACAAATGGAAGTGTTGGCAATTGATGCTGGTAACCATAATTTTGTCCTTGCATGCCTTGCATAGCTGGAGGTAGTTGGTGATGATGATGGTGAGTATCATGATACTGCTGACTGTGCTGATGGTTCATAGGGGGAGGATAAAAAAGAATTGTGGAATTACTGTTGTTTGTCACCTCCTGGTATCCCTGCCCCATGGTATTTCCAATCTCTAAAGAACCACCATTGACACTCCTCCCTGTAACCAAACCATTACAATTTTTAATCTGCTCTTAAATTAACAACCTTAAGATCTACAAAAAAAAATTCTTGATAAACATGACTATAATGCAAGACTCGCATTCATGAAACAAAGAAAAAAAGAATGAATTTAACTACCATGCAAATAAGGTAAAGCAGGTGCACAGTTCCAGGATGAAGTGCCTCTATCTCCACCATTACTCTCAAACTGTTGTTCCACCCAAGGATTGTTGACTGGATGAAAAGGCTGAACCATGTAATTTCCTTGAAGTAAATGACCATGGTTATGTGCCAAAATGGACTCCATTTGAAGGCCTGAAGGACTTGATCTGCTCCTCACACTTCTCCGAACTCCTCCTTCAGTGACTGATACAATACCATTACCTCTATACTCAGGTGGAGCGAAAGACCCAACATCCAGTGTACCAGCAATGAGTCTGTATTGTTCATCCCATTGGTGCAGCCCTAAATTCATGGGGACACCCGATGAAGATGAACTTGAGCTTGTTGACCCATTAATATGTTGGTTGCTCCTTGGAATCCCTTCTGCATTTTTTCTCTTGGATGAACCTCTAGCACCAATCATGAAGTGACTAGTCCTTTCATATTCATCCAAACCAACTCCATTTATTCCATGATTACTGGAAGAAGGCAACTGATCAGCAGAACCATGATTTAGTCGAACAGGGAACATTCGGTTACTAGATGAAGGTATCATGTAGGGATTGTAGAAGTTGGATGTCGCTGAGCCACCAAAATCAAGGTTTGCAACAGGGTTATGAAAATGATGGCTGTTATATTGGGTCCCATAGAATATACTATTATCGTGATGGTCTGGCAAATGATGAGGATCAAGATTACTTGTATTCCCAGAAGCTGACAAAACTGGATGGATATTAGGGTGCGCAAAATCGGAGATGTTCCCCACAAGAATGCATGGCTCAGGTGGGACATGGCCCTGGCCTTGTTGATCCATTTCCAAATCAAGCATCTGGCTTGTACATAGCATATTTCTTTGGCCCATCTTTGTTGGATAATTTATGGTACCAAATGATATCTGCATTGAATCACAGATTTAATAATAAGAACTGCAATCAACATATGCAATTAAAAATAAACAATGCCTTAATAGTTGACATTGTAATTCAGTACACAGTGACAACGATGTTATTCCTTGCCTATCATTTGTGTGGATAGGCATATAAGATGAGATGTGGTTCTTTGACTTTGGTTTTTTCCCTATTTGGTAAGCTAATGAATATAAACTCCTTCAGAATTTATATAAATGAGAATATGGGATACACTTTGCATGACAAAGAAGCCATGGAAATAAATGCTGAGGAAATTCAGTGCCCACCCAACATGAGCAACATGGTCCAGGTAATAAATTTGCACACAATTTACCTTTTTTTTTATCTATTCTATGCAACCCGGTACCATTGCAGATTCCTGTTGCATCTCTATTTAACAAATGTATCATCTAAATACATATATCTTTCATTTAAATGCATATATCCTTCATTCAGAGTATAGATCAAGAGAGAAACTTAATTTGGCATATTTCCAAACAGTATTGCTGACATTTTCCTGAAGACATCCATGTCATAATAGCATTATAAATATTTGTAATTAAAAACAGAAAGAAATTTAAAATTAATAAAAAACTCCAAGAGATACTAGATAGCATTTACAGTAACCAATCACAAAACTTATATATCATTAGATATTTAATAGAGGATATCTTCCATGTTATCCTGATTTCTGACATTCAAAAGTTACAAAAGGGAGTGATCTATAATTCATTTTTCTTTTAATGAATAAACAAAGTACTTTGATGGAAGTACCAGGGGAAACCCATGCCCAGGAGGTATTGAAGTGCTTTCTAACCACACTGTGCATCATTTGGGCTTGTAGCATTACAATTGAGGATGTGAAAGCAACAAGATCTGTAGTAGACTTTCTTACAGGTTCAAGAATATCTAAAATAATTGAGCCCTCCATATCTATTAGCCTTGGCGATTCAGAAAATGCTATTACGTAATCCAGGCATGCAGTTTGGAAACTTGGAGACTCATTCATTACTTGAATGAGATCAGAGACAAATGCCAAGTTACAACATGGTATCCAAATCTCAAAAAGACTTAAGAGTAGACCCATTAGTTTCAAAGTGTCCTAGTAATACTGACTAAATGTTAGATTTCTTTTGAACATGAGAGCAATCATTAAGGACCTCTTTTCAGCCAAGAGCACCTAATAGCATTAGAAGAATATCCTTCAATTCCATGGTTTGAAACAATCATTCTACATATACTAAAGTTTCAGTAATTAAATGGTTCCAATAATTTGCTACTCAAAAATAAATAAATGCTTCCTACAAATAAAAAGCCACCAAAGATTAGCAACTGATGATCCAAGTTGACAATTTTAGATATAACATAACTACAGAGTTGACAAGGAGGAAAGCAAAGAATGTGAAATAAAATTCAATTTGAATTCAGTAATGCTAACTCAGCCACCCATGACGTGGAAGGCACATGGAGGGCCTCACTGACCTATCTTATTGAAAATATCAAAGTTATCCGGTAATGTAAGGTAAAGGGGCATCCAGATCTAAAGTTAAGGATGGAAAAGTTTGCCATGAATAACGGAGTTAATGTGACATTTATTAATGGCAACAATGTAACACAAAACTTCTGGCAGTAATCATTTTTTTGGTAGTATGGCAGTAATCAATTAGTCAATAGTACTAAATAGAAGGATGACAAAACTCAAGACTCAAGAATCATATTTACCGATGTTAAAATTATGAGAATAATCAATTAGAACACCATCACATGTTATGATCAGAACTGTCTTCAAGAGATGATGGAGAGAATGAGCAGACAAAGAAAATGAGGAAAAAGAATAATTCAAAATATTACTGATATAGCAACTCCAGTTACGAATGGCACAAGGTAAGGAGATATCACAATGTAACAAGAACTATGGGTTGTGATAAAATAAATGTTTTGAAAACTGGATGGAAGATTCAGTATGAAAAACAAAGTAGAATGCAGTGATGGATACGTATAAGGAAATGAAGGTAAAGCAACTCACATAACCATACTTACAGCAGAATAAATTTTGAAATTAACATAGAGAGAGGGATGTAAAGGATGAAGACAAAGAGATGTTGCAAAATCTATGATAACTTTGTTACTCTGATTCTGATATGGTAGGCAAACATAAATCCTGGCATAAGAAGGTTGGCCCCACCAGAGATAAGGATAACAAAGAAACAATGGATCAAAATTCTTATGCACAGTGAAATCAAATTCCTGAAGGATGTAGAGGAGGACTAGACCTGGTGGAACTATGAAATAGACTTTTTTGAGAAAGGATAGCTTCATTAAAAAAGAAGGACAACAAACAAAAGGTAAACAAAGGGTGTATAAATAGAAAGAAGCACCCCCAGATCTAACTGGGCATATATCCGTTGCTGAACATTTGATCCCTGAGAGCCCCTGCTTTGGCAAGGTTGTCAGCTAAAACAATGCAATTTCTAGGGGTCCAAAAACAATTAGCATTGCAAGAGAGCTACTAATTTGGCATTTATGCGTTGCTGTACTTCAGCAAGATAATGAGCCCAAATCCAAGGCCCTGAGTTCTGACCAGCCAACCATTTGATAGTATTCGCCAAGCATAATACAAAATTTACAGGACATTGGAATGATAAATGCAACTCTAGTTGCTGATCAGAAAAAAAAAATACATGCAAACTCTATTCCAACAGAAAGATGTAGATCCTTCATTATAATCCTTGGCTTTGCAAGTATGAAGTAAATGCAATGAAGAATTTGGCGAACCACTCCAAGGGTAATAAAACTCAGAAGTTACATTTAACACAAAACCCTCTAACAGGACATAAGTTTAACAAAATAAATTAACAAGAAAGACTTCAAATATCTACTAAGAGTTATTACAGACAAATCACACAATAAAGAATAAGATCTAAAAAAAAGAAATAGGATACATACTCTTCCTTTTTTTCCCCTACTTCTAACTATTTGGGTGTACTAAAACCTGTGAAACACAATTTGAGGAAGAACCGGCCTTTTAGAACTTTAAATAAAAGAGTTGAAAGCCATTTTCCGGACAAAACGTGTATGTAAAACTAGAAGTAAATGAACGGGAGCCAACAACGATGTTCATCGGAGTGTGTCCATTAACAGAGAATGATGAAAGTGAAAAAAAAAAAATTCCTCAGAAGACTCGCGTTGGCCGTTGAGACTTGAGAGCAATCAGCAAGAGAAACGTATACTTTTAAAAAGGGGGTGAGAAAGTGGACGGAAAGGCTATTTTCCCCGCTTCTTTTTCCTTTTCATTTTTCTTTTTGGCAGTAACCATGATGTTGTTAGAGGATTTGTAAGTAATCTGATCCGACCAAAAGAAAACGCATATACTAACAAAACTGTAGAAACAGAAACGCTAAAAAGGGGAAAAAATACCTTTTATCATCAATGAGTCCTTGATCAAACCCCTATCTTCTGTATCAACAAATGCAACTCTCCGATCCTCAAATAACAGCAGATATCAGAATAAATTAGATCTCCCTCCACTCCTAACCGACGATTCAATTCCCCAAAGAGATAATATTTAACCAAGAAATTCTACAAACCAACCTGCAGAAAAAGAAAATGAATGATCAATCCCGAACATAGAGGGCATTGACGCAAAACACGACAAAAACCAGGAAAGGAAAAAAAAGAACACACAGAATTTCAAAAACTCATCAACATGAATCGTCCTAAATCGATGGAAAAAATCAAGAAAAAACCGGAAAAACTCTGAGCGATTTGGGAATCAGAAAGGAAAGAAGATAGAGAGGAAGAGAGAAAGAGCTCTAGAAATTCGTTTTTATTTAAAGAACAAAAACAAGAAATGGTGAGAGAGACAAGACGGGATGAAGAAAAAAACTAACCACAGCGACGGTTGATCAGACCGACGTGCGCATTTTCGTGTCCCGCAAATTTACAGAGATATCTTCTAGCAACGTCTATGTCTTCCTTTTACAGGCCCAAATGGAGAGAGAGAGAGAGAGAGAGAGAGAGAATATTGGGCCAGGAAGAAACCTTGTAATAAAGCAACAACTCTCTTTATCTAAACTTTTCATTTCTAATTTTCCCTTGTAATTTAGTTCTAATTTATAATTAGTGTCTATTTTTCCTTTAGTTAATGAATCTTTAATCCTTCATTAGAAAAAACAATAATAATTGGGAAAGATAGCAGTTTCCAATCATGAAATCTGATGGACTTTGGACCACATGGGGCATGACATTACTAATCCATACCTGTTCTAATCTTGTGGGAGTCCAATGGGTCGTGGACACGCCTAATTACCTTGTCCCCGTCAGCCCCTCATACGATAGTCCATTGGGCCCAGGGCAATGGACCGGGCCGTAGGTGAGTTCACATCAGCCCCATAAAGGAATTCGGCTTTGATGAATGCAAAGTCCCTTCGAGCAACCTTTACAGCCTTGCATTGAGAATATCTGTCTTATTTGATGATGGGAAGATATTCTCAATAGGTTGCAAAAGGAGATTGGAACGGTGTCAGCACGGACTTACTCTGAGAAGCCAATCTCCTTAAAAGAGGCGCCTCACAGCACATCCCAGCCGTATATTGACAATATCTCCCGATGATGAGTACAGACATCATGGAGATTTTCCCAATTCACGGTTGGGATGTGCTGTGTAACGTAGTGGGGGATGATGTGAATTGGCCGCAGGTCCAATCTCTTATAAATTATTTCAGTTATGGCATTGAATTCAATCAAGCCCATAATTGGAAATTCCATCCAACTCCGATTCAGCCATTCAGAGTTCAGGACAATGTTTTAAAAACTTACTTGGAAGTCCGGAACCAGAATCATTCTGGTTACTGGTTTCCAGGTCGATGGTTTGATTGTCCAGTTCGTATGAATGACATGTTCTGGCAAAAAAAATTTAAAAGTTAAATAAAAATAACTAAAATAAAAAAATGGTTAAAAATTATTGAACATGGTCAATGGTTCGACCACCCGGGTCAACAGGTCGTTGATCAATTCAACATTTTTTGGTTAAAGACCAGGTTTGTGGTAAAACGGAATAATTGCTTAGACGGTTTTCGGTCCAAATGGTCTGATCGCTCGGGTCAATAGCAATTCAAAAACATTAGTTTAGGATGTCAATTAGGGCGTTTTCTAGATTTTTAGAGGGGAAAAAGTTGATCAATGGGATTGTGATTTCTATTTACCAAAATATTCATACTTTATTTTTTCAAATTTATGAAGAATTCATAGAAAATAACTTTCCCAATTAAGGGAAAAGTTATAACAATTGAATGAAACAAAATTGTCTTTTTTAATAATGGCTTTTTATGACTAATACCATCATTATCATATTTACCTAGGAAATAAAAGAATATGATAAATACACTTAACTTGATAAATAACTTCCTGAAAAACAAACGAGCCTTAAAAAGAACCTTTTCAGTCATAGTTGAAGCTGAATTGGTTGGTTAGGATTCCATAATCCCTCTTTTTTTTTATTATCTAGTTTTTATCTAATTTCAATCATTATAGTAAGGACCATTGCCATATATAATGTATTGCTGTGTTTGGTATAGGATAATATTAAGATGTAATTAGTTCATTTCACTAACCTCATTTGTAGTAAAAACAAACAAAAATGTGATCAATCAATTATAAATAGGTTAATGATGTAATTATTAAAATTTGATTTATTTAGCCAGAACCAATGAATTCATGCCTAGAGAATCTGGCAATCATGATCACCACTATTTTCAAGTCACACAATAAGGGTTTTAGGAAAATGTTCCAAACATCGGAGCGAACCTGATGGCTTTGATTCTGTTGGATTTTAATCTCATTAGAGAATAAATTCAATGGGATTTGATTGATCAATTACATGGAAAATACACCTGTACACATGTCATGAAAAATAACATTTTTTCTTATTAAAATCAGTTTTTAACTAGTCTCACATTGGAAAATTATAAAACTTGTTTTGAGTTTTTAAATAGGATCTTATTTACACTTCTTAGATATAAAGATGAGAGTATGGAGGCTTGCTGTTGTGTAACGTGCGCGTGTGTGCCGCGCAATGAAGTGCACACATGCACCTATGTGATTCGCGAAGGGTGGCTTTGACTTTTGGTGTGAGGCTGACCGTTGATGTTTTCAACGGCCACAAATCGATTAGGTGTGATCAAGAGGCACCATTCAAAATTAACAGTCATTAATTGCTAACTACCTTTAACAGTCACAAAAAATGGTGATTGTTCAAGGAGCCTTTTCTGAACTAGCACCTTCATCTGCTCCATGATTATTCCAAAACTATTTAAGGAGTATAAATCAAGTAATTGCACACAAGTTTTGAAAATTATTCATGTCTCTTTCAGTCCAATCTGCTACTATTTCACAGAAGGTTTGTTTAGAGACTCTTCAACTTTGCTAGTTGCAAATTCTTGCCTAAGATCCTCTTGCATTTTGGGAATGAATTTTCTCATAATCCAACATCAAATTCAAAGGAACTAAGTGAGAGCAAATAATATAAAAAGACGATGTCTTCAAACACATCTTAGAGCTTCTCTTCCAAATTTCAATAACCCTAATTCTTAACAAATTCAACTGAAAAAAGAAATGTATTGATGGATTGCAATGTTGTGATATACTCAAATTCTCAGTCTCAAATGGGACGAAACAAAATCGAAAGTCTGACGGGACGAAACAAAACCGGAAGTCCCATGGGGTCATATATGCTGTGAATGACATTTTAGGGCAAAAGGAGGTAGGGTCCACCCACAAAATTTCTATGCAATGTTTGGTGGATTCAGTCATTACAAGACTGCTCACACCGTTCGCACAGTCCTATATATGGAGATATTTTCAATGGACGGCCGTGACAGGCCGTGGCTCTCCAAAGTGGGCCTTACGTGAATATAAGCTATGTTTGGTGGAAATTTTCGAGAGCTTAAATGGGGGTCGGTCTACGGGTGCAAATAAATTGGATCATGATAATAAGTTCAATTTTATATTTTTGGATTCAGATCGTCTTATATTGGATCTTTAGAACAGATGTTAGGATCTAGTCAGAAATTGGATCAAATTCGGATCCCCCCAAATTCAAGGAAGATCCAGCCCAATATATATGTTATTTATTGTATTTATTTATATAAATGTAACGCATACACGCACACACACACACATATATATATATATGCAATATTTTAAAAAATGACTCGGAATTGAAACTATTATAGCCATCGATTTTTAAGTCGATGATTTGACTGTTCAGTCTGAACAGACGGCCCATTCTGACAAAATAAATTAAAAAATTAAAATTTAAAAAAGGCCAAAAATCGTTGAACAGGTTGACAGTTCGACTGCCCGAGTCAATGGGTTATTGACTGATTCAACGGTTTTTAGCCAGGGACCGAATTTGGCGTAAAACTGAACAGGTTGCCTGGATGGTTCCTAGGCCAAACAGTCCGACCCTCCGAGTCAAGGTTCGAAAACCATGTATATATGTTATAATTATTTATATTGTATTTTTGTAAATTTTTTATATTATTTATTTTTTATAAAAAAAAAAACACATATGTATGTATATATATATATATATATATATATATATTATATTTTTTGTATTTTTATAAAAATATTTTTTATAATATATATATATATATATATATATATGATGATGATGAAAATAGTTGAAAAGATATTTGTAGTTTTTGTTTTCTTTATTTAATTTGTTATATTTTATTTTTCTTGTAATAATTTATCGGATCAGATATGAAAATCCAACTTCCTCATTAGATTCGAATTCAGATCTATGTTTATCAAATCCAATTGGATCTTCAGATCAGGTTAGACCTACAATTAGCATTGTCGGACCATATTCAAATATACCCTGATTCAAATCCAATATATTTGAACCCGGTCCGATTCATTTGCATCCCTTCCAGTCGATCATTTCTAGCACTTCAATTTCTTTGAATAGCATATCAAAGCAGTTAAATCTTCACCTCAGTTCCCAAAGAGGCCCTAATAGCTATTTAAGTGGTCTTTTAGGGCCTGTTTGGGAGGGTTTTTGCGTTATAGGTGAGTTCTATTGATTGAGTCATGGACCCTATGGTCATTTAGCAATTTGATTCCAGAGAAGCTACCAAGAGTAGCTTTAGTTTACGGTCTTATTTCTAACCAATCAAGTAACCAATTCTATTTCGCCCCAAAACCGCTTTTTGGCTAAAAACTATTGATTTGGTCAACGACCTACTGACCCAAGTAATTGAATTGTTGAACCATCGACCTGGGCAATGGTTTTTGGTTGTTTTTTATTTCTTAATTTTTTATTTTTTCAAGTCAGATCAGGTCGTCCATTCGAACTAGATGGTCAAACCGTTCAACCCAAGAATCGATCTCCAAAACGGTTCCTTGTCCGGTCCGATTTTAAAAACCTTGTTCGAAACAACAATATTGGCTTTCCAAACTTTCACCAAATACAATTTTTATGAATTCTGTGGATCCAGCTTGGAATGCGTGAAGCAGCATCATGAAACAATGTTTTCAACCCATCGTTAACCTAGCCTATTGAATCGCTCGAACCGTCACCCGACTAAAATTCCGGGTCCAGTTTAGTCAAGACCCGCCAAACGGTCAAAAACCGTTGACTTGGTCAAGAACTGTTCGACCTGGCCAATTTAACCCGATGATCGGATCGTAGGTTGCACATTAAATACATGCAAACTTTCAGAGGCCACTTTGCACTCCGATGTCCAATTGGAGTGATTTTTTTTTTATTTTGGGTAACTTTTCGAGATCTATGTGTCCTAAGGAGCCGTAGGTGCCTTGCCCTACTATTTTCATGGAAGAAAACCCTTTTTTGACCTCAAATTGTACTTTTTTTATATTTTTATAAATAAAAAATTAAAAACTGAATTAAAAAACATATATTAAATATAAAATAATACATATAACATATCTGAAACATTATTTATTACTAATATATATATATATATAGTTAATACATATATATGCTGGCATGGTATGATCTAAACCGTTCAACCCAGCTGGTCGAACCGGTGACCCACGACTCAGAGGAAAAATCGGTTCTGCCTCCGGTTTTTAAAACATTATCCCGAAAACCCTCCCAAACAGACACTTGTTGAGCCAGATGTGTTTAGCGAGGTGTCCGTTCAAGAGGGCTTTCCTACAACGGTTTCCGGCATTGCAAGAATCCAAAAGTGAAAAAATTAACTCTCCAATGAAATTAGTTTTGATAGCTTTTAAAAATTTTAAAAAATGGCTCCGTCAAATGGTCAATACAGCTCAATTAATGCTGAAGCCCTTCAAAACAGGCCATAAGTCTTCTCAATCTAGCCTCTATTTGGTTGTTTTCCCTACGTCTTCATCTACATAACTGGCTAGATTTGTGTCTGTCAAATGCCAATTGAATCAAGCTAAACTGAACTCTTGAGAGTGAGTGGTCAAGGTAAAAAAAGATTTTTTACAGACACAAATTTTTTACCTTGAGAGTAAAATTTACGGCAAAATTTTAGGTGCCTTTGTTAGGTGCCTTGCCGTAAATTTTGTGTCTGTCAGTGAGTGGTCAAGTTAAATTTTACAGACACAAATTTTTGGAAAAGATTTTTTATTAAATTTTATTGGTTTATTATTATTTTTGTATTATTTTTAGGTAAAATTATAAAAAAGAAATCATCTTATAACAATTCTATAAACCACCTTTGTGTTTTGACCCTAACAAAGGCCTTCTCTATGGCTGCATTTGGATGCGATGTAAATCAAGAACCGATGTAAAATTTACATCGATTCGGTTTTGTATGCATTTAGAAAGAGGGTATAATTATTATAGACGTGCATTTGGATGGAGTGTAGTTTTACATCAATAATCAATGTAAATCTGCATCAGCTCTAAAGTTTTACATCGATAATCGATGTAAAAACTACATCAATTTTACCGATGTAAAACTTTACACTCTTCTACCCATCACTATTTTCAAAAAAGCAACAGTCACTTTTTGGTTCACTGTAAAACGTCATCAATGTATTTTTACATTGAGTCCAAACGCAACCTATAGTTTTGAGGAAAAAAAGTGCAAATGCCTCCTTTTCCTTTTCTCTTCGGTAATAAAGACATTAAAATTATCAAAATACCCTTATCATTGTTAATGCAATATCATACATAATTTAAAGTTTCAACTTTACCCTCCACTAATCTATTTATAGACAATGTAAAAAGGCTGATGTGAAGTAAAATTAATGCATTACATCAACATTTTTTATTTGGAATGCTAACTAAAGGAAAGTATTTGCACCTTTCTTTTCAAAACAATAGGGGAGGTTTTTGTTAATGTCAAAACACTGGGAAGTTTCATAGGATTGTTAGAAAACCCAATGAAGCTTTTATAATTTTCCTTATCTTTAAATGAAATTTAAATTGATTTTAAAATAATTAAACTTTGTATAAAACTAATGGTTTTATTAATTTTTGAAATTAGTAAAAATTAAATTCATTTAAGTATATAAAGTTTTTATTAAATTTAAAATCCTTGTGAAATTCAATTAACTATATAATCTTTTATTTTTTAGTGAAACTTAAGTTGGTTTTGAATTAATAAAATTCAATTATAAAACTAATAATTATTAGATAATTTTTTGTATTAGTTTTATATTAATTTTAAATTGATATTCGTTTTTAAATTATCTTATTATTTTTATTAATTAAATTATTTTTATTATATTAATATACATATTTATATTTATATATATAGTTAAATTGAACTGAAATGGAATAAATAAAGTTTATAAATTAATTAATGAGTTATTGGAGTAGCATAATTAATGATAGATTATTAAAAAAGTTAATGGGGAGAGAGAAAGAGAGAGCTAATGGAATTTTAATGAGTGTCAAAACTCTTAAAAGTGATTGATCACTTGAGTTATTTTATTCAATTTTAAATTAAAAAAAATAAAAAAAAAAAGAAAAAAGATAGGTGCCTTTGAGAAGAAATCAGAAAAGAGATAAGTGACTTTCAAAATAAACCATAGTGCAAGAAAGTGCCAGCTTGGCACATAACATTTTAAATCCTAAAACCAGCGTGGAAAAGGCATTTGGTCTCATGCATTCATCTAATCAGTAAAGAGAAATTTTTTTTCAGTTTAATGCCTTCTTCACATCTCACATGATCTCCACTTGATCCACTTCTAATGTGCCTAAGCAAATAGAATTGAATATTCCATGACCTCAAATATTCAACTTGTTGCTCATGTTTATTTATTTTTTAGATTAAAAAAACAAATAAATTAAGACAAGTGATATATGGGGCAAACCGGGCCAATGATTGACGGGATACAACATACAAGTTTGTAATCATGATAATCTCCCTATCAAATGAACGGTTGGGATTTGCTGGCAACTCCATGCATTTCCCTAAAGATGGCAGCTTCCATGTTAGAAAAGAAATATTTGTCCATCTAAAGCAGCTCTCCCATCTCATAAAAGGAATATTTGTATATGAAGTTTTCTTTTTGGCTGTGGCGGGTAGGCTTTTTATTGGCAAATCAAAACCAGCCATGCATGTTGCCCATGCTTCTCTACAGCTTGCTGAATAGAAATCAAAATTTAACAAGATTGATGGCATTAGTGGAGATGTTAACAACTTCCTAGGAATACTAGTAGTTAGGTTTTGCAAACTCCAGTTGTTACCTGGATGTTGTTGACGAAGCAAGGTCCCAATAGGCTAATAAAACATTCAAACATGAAAATTATGTAAAAGTAAATCAAATTCCACAACAAAATTTTGAATAGAAAATTCGGTGCCAATGAGGATACCACCTTTGTAAGGTACCACTTTTAATTTTAACAGCAGGTAGAGATTCCCCAAAACACCAATAATACATTGTGTCCTCTGGGGGCACCTTCGTTGAATCAGGATAGGTTTGGTTGCATGCTAGCCCACCCAATCCACATTGAAATTCTATGCTAGCAGCTACCCTGTTTCTTCTGATAGAAGGCCATCGACAGGAGTTCACAAGAAGACTGAAATCATTCAATTTGGATTCCATTTGATTAAGAGAACAACTCAAAAAAGGTGGACATTTTGGCACAATAACAAGGTTGAATGTTGATCGTAAACAGTTCCCACATTTATGAATGTTTGTTCGCATAGACAATTACTTGACGAGTAAATAACTAGTGAATCAGATGGCCATAACGAGTATATTTCTTGCAGTGGGCAATACAGCTTACTTCACCTAATCTTTTTCCAGCATCGATGTCATTTACGAGCTTCAGCCCTCTTCTGTTCTTTGGCTGTGAATTGATGAGCCACATTAGTTGAAATGTATTTGTATTTGTACTCCTTCCAAACTGAGCCAAAATGTCAAAACGAATAGGTGCAGACATGGAGACTTACCAGCTTTCTCTTCTTCTCGCTTCTTAGCAGCATCCACCCGTTGTTGGCGTATAAGGGCTAAACGCTCTGCAAGAATATAAAATCGAAACAGTGAGACATGTAAAAATACTCTGCAACTGTTCTAAGAAAGGGGGTTCGACCATTATTTTACACTGTTTACCCAAATCTTTTCTTGCTTGTTCTGTTTTTCCTTGTTCCTGCAGCCTCATGTATCGCTCATGAGCTTTTTGTTTCTCTATCTCTTCTCTGCAAACAGGCATAATAAAAACATGAAGATATAACCAAAAAAAATCCAGCACTTAACCAAATAATTGCAATCCACTAAATGTAACAAATCAAGTTATCAACATGAAAAGCTCTGCCAGCTAATTTCAAGGTACGTATGAACCTTCTGACATCCTAGTGATACCTTGGTTTATAAAAGATTTTGAAATGTCAACAGTTAAATCTAGAATTAGAACAAAAACAGAAAAACTTGTAACGGTTAAGTTTCACTGCTGAAGCTATCACGGTAGCTTAAAGGTTCTCTGTAGAAAAAATAAATAAATACATACAAAAGAAAGAAATAATAATGCAATAACCATGTGGACCACCCTTAGAAAAAACAACAATAATGCAATAATGCTTCTAAGAGTATAGTGAACACCACAAAACGTCCACAATCTCCTTTAATGATCCAAACTCCAGCAAGATACCAAGCAGTGTTACCTTGGTGCATAGTAACTACTCAAGTTTCTACAAGCATCTGAAACATCGACCTCTAGAAATTAAGGTGCAGGTATACAGCCATGAATAAATGTTAAATTATATAAACAATTTACAATATAGTAAAGTAAAAAAAATTATGTAGAAACTTGGAAAATAACTGTTGACACCATAATGGAATGTATCTTTTCTCTAATAAGAAATAGCATCCCTGAGAGTCCTATTTGTTGATGTATATTCTTGACTTTATCTTGGAGAATTGTCAGCATTTTACAAGAACCATACCAAAATTCAAACGCAAACAGCAGGTGTGGACAGACCTATCAGTTTTTAGGTATTCTGGTGTGGACCAGTTCTTATTTACTCAACCCCTAAACAAAGGAATCAAACAATTATACTTTCACCTTCATCTTTATAGAACTGTATTTGAACAAACTTGGTCTGTGAAAAATGTGAGAGGAAGGACCACAATCAGTGGTGGCAAGTAAGAAGTGGTTTTCTTAAGTCAAAGACAAGAGTTTATTAGAAAAGAAGAATGAGATGCAAGGATATGAGGTTAGGAGATCAATATGAATGCCAGACTTCCACTGCACCTAATCAAAACCTTGGAATCTCCTCACAATAAAGCTAAAGATTCTAAATCCTTGGAGAAGGAAAGCAGCTCCATGGAAAAAAACAGGTACTTTCTCTCCCACCCTTCTATTGTTTATCTTTTGCTCTCTTTGTTCTTTTACTTTTTTTTTCCAAAATAAAGGTACACAACTTTTTTAAATTTTTGTTTTTTACTTGAAGCAGAATGATTGAGCATGCCCAACCTAATAATAAATGTCCGCAGGTCTAACTATGCTGACATGTGCTCCCCTGTAGGACCAAGGTGCCACATTTTATAAATGATAGGTCTACACATCATGTTCTCAAACATCAGGCCTTGACAGAAGATGGCTCAAACTGTTGAACAAATCAACAAGATATCCAGAAAATCTGCAAATTACTAATGCTCATTTTGAAACATTGAATTAATCGTGAATCCCTCCCCCAAGCTCATGCATCCTTTCCATTTCTCTATGGATGGAACTTAATTATTTCCAGTTATGCACTTGGTAAACTGCAAATTATAATTGAGAAGTAATAAAATAGTAAGTAAACTTGTCTTGGCAATTAGCTCTAGGGACCTTCTTCATAAAAAGGTTCAAGCAATTTCTTTTCCCAATCCGTTAGCAAACTTTGGATCAGATCTTAAGAAACTGAAAAGGTTAACCCTCTTAATAACAGCTTCAGTGTTCACATTTACAAACAAAAATGAAAAATGTCTCTCATCTAACAAATTGAAGACTGCAAAAGGATAAATTCCATATCTTCATCCAAAAAAATAATAAGTTACATATCTTCTAAGTTCCAAGGATGCAAGGAACAAGAAAACACAGGAAACCCAACTTCCAAGTAACCAATGTAAAAGGTGGTGCATGAATAGCCCCCAAAAGAAGGTTATAAAAAGAGTATCTACAAACCTTTCGCGCCTTGAGAGTTCAGTTGTTTTCTCTATCTGCAAAATCAGAATACAATAATTTAACATAATTAAATCCTCCATCAAGGTGTCACATAAATGGTAGAAGGAAAGCTTGCCAGACTTACATCAACATTTCTAGCTTTTAAATTCTTTGGTTTTACCAAATTAGGGTTCTCAATCTCTATAATACCCTGTGCACCTTTTCGTTTCTGCCAATTTTGACTAGCAATAATGAGAAACAATATAAATACTAAATACACACTGGCAGCACTTAAAAAATAAAAACAAGGTGATCATGGAAACTATGGCCTGTAAAACAGTGGTGACCTCAGGCTCTTCTTCAGATTTCTCCTCTTCAGATTCTTCTTCCTCCTCCTCTTCGGCTTCTTCCTAAGCATATAAAAAAAAATGATCTCTTTATACGCAAATAGAGAAAAGGAAAACCAATAAAATGAAGAAAGTTCAACAAAAAAGGCAAAACTAAGAATTTGGGATGAATGACATTGATCATTTCATAAGAACAATTCTGGGGATTATTTTTGAACAGATGATTAAGAAACATAAATAGTACCATTATGCTGATGCAAAATATGATTATCATAAGTTCATAATAATATAGGCTGGAGATGAATTTAGCCTCTACAACATGCTAAAAAAGCAGCTCAGAAGTTTTCCTAAACCACATCAAGCCTCAGGCTCAACAGAGATACCTTAAGAAATCATTTTGTCACCAACAGTGATGCAGAGATGGCATGTATTTATATCACTCACCAGATCAAATGAGGATTTACTAAAATTTAGAGAGAGAAAGCAAGATATATAGAGAATATCTCTTCACCACTCTTTTAAATGATACAATATTACAGCCTGCAATTACCTATTGTACTTATAGATCTTTTTGTTTTTTAGAGAAAAACAGCTACAATTACAATAATGGCATAGCAGCTTCATGAACACTAGTGGATGAACACAGCTACAACTACAATTCTAAACAGCTTCAAGGCAAATTTAGAGAAAAGAAAAATCAAAGCAAGAGCATAACACTAGTGGCATAGCAGCTTCATGAACACAGCTACAATTACAAATGATAATAAAATAATACTAATGATAACAACAATAACAATAATATAAACCCAAAAATCATAGCCTAACAATAGAAGTCAAGAAGAATATAATAAGTAGTTACTACTAGTGGATGCACAAAGATAAAGGTCCAACATTTGTTTGGGAGAAAGGATAACAAGGTTGATCTAAGAATTTTATACATAGTTTATTCAGAAAAGCATAGAGAAATACTTGTTTAAAAGTGCGAGGGCGAGTCGACGTGCCAGCAACTGCAATGTTTGAAAGCAGGGAAAAGATACATGAAGTCAGTGAACACCTTATAACAGGTGCCATAGTAAGTAACGATTATTTACATAATGAAACTTAGCTCTGAAACTGGTAAATGGTTTTACTACTTTTGTAGTCACTAGCAATAATAAAGAGTCATGCATTAATGTCAAACACAGTAATCAGTTGTGGTAATTAGTGTAGCATTGCATCTTGTAATTGATTAATTGGTTACTTAAAACCTGAATGAAAGCTCTGACCAAGACAAGATAGTAAGTTCCACAGCAATATATAAAATAAATAAATTTATTTTATAAATAAAGCACATAAGTTGGTTACTTACAAATTTCATTGGAATGAACTAATTGATACTATTTAAAACAAATTAGTATTTAACCAAAAAAGCTTCCCTAAATCATATTTTCATAATAAAAAAGAAATGTATAAAAAGGAGAAAAAAAGCACAAGAGAGAGGTGACAAGCAATCACCCACAGGAAGGAAAAGAAAGACCTCAGAACTAACAAGACTACAAATACCTCCCTCAAAACCACCCACCCCTGACCCCCACAACTAAAGGCAAAAGAGTATCCTTCTGACCAATTGAATCACCACACACCTCAGTAGACACAGGTTCTAAGATTGCAAGTCCCAATAGAATGACCAGTCTCATCACCACTTCAATTGCCACTGAACCCAGCGCACTTCTCCACATCAACTTCTTTAGTCTGATTCTTACCTTCTTTGCCGTATCTCATAAACTCTCAGACCCACCTCACTTTTTTTCCTTCACGTGCCCTTTTGCCTCTTGAAAGTGACACATCGTCTTTTATCAACTGGAAACTTGTACGTCCGGTTCATAACTCCCCTCTTTTTAAATCTAGAACTCTTAAATTATGGGGGCCCAGGTCAACTTCCCTTTCCTTGCGATGGAAATTCAAAGTATATATGGCATTCTGGCAACACTTGAGAAATAGGAAAACATCAGATATTTGAAAATTTTGAGGGGGGGGGTCATATTACTTAAAAAAAAACAAAGACATAAACATAAACATCATTGGAATGAACCAAATTGATATTATTTAAAAAAACTTCCTTAATGAGGGTGCCTAGTTAAGGAGTTTATCAACTTTTTTTCAGAGATGGCAATTCAAAGTGCATATGTAACTCTGGCAACCATTCGCAGAATGGTTCCCCTTCGGAAGATTTTGTCAAATTGAATTTTGATGGAAGCAGCCAAGGTAACCCAGGCCCTTCCGGAGTTGGGGGAGTGTTGAGGAATAAGGAAGGACACATCATTGCCATGTTTTCAGGCCTAGTGGGGGTGGGAGACTCTACTAAAGCTGAGTTACAGCTTATGTTTCCTTTAACCACCCCACCACCATATTAGATTCACCCTCTTGAGGAATAAGGAAGGACACATCATTGCCATGTTTTCAGGCCCAGTGGGGGTGGGAGACTCTTCTAGAACTGAGTTGTTTGCAGTACTACAGGGATTACAAATTGCAAATGAATTGAACTTGGAGAAGTTGGTAATTGAGGGTGATTCTAATATGGTGGTGGGGTGGTTAAAGGAAACAGAAGCTATAACTTGGGATTACAAAAATGAGATGAAGAAATTTAAATGGCTGACAAGAAACATGACCTTGAGAATTCAATGGGTGAGGACAGCCAATGCTCTTGCCGATACTCTGGGTAAGCAAGAGGTTATTATGGCACATTTGTATTGGGCACAGTTGTAACTGTATTTGCTTTATGCTGTTGAGAGAGGCTGCACCTCACGCCTCTCTTTGGGAAGCCTGTACTGGCAATAACTGTACAGTTATCATTGTACCTCTTCTTTTTTTAATAAAATTCCTTTCACTTATCAAAAAAAAAAAAAAATTGAATTCTGGCAACAGTTATAAAGAAACCAGGAAAGCATCAGATATTTGAAAACTTTGAGGGGACCATGACCCATGACCCTGATGTTATCCCTGACTCATGTTGTTGTTCTTGTAAAGCTGTGTCCACTGCATAAGAGAGCCTCTGGACCGACCATGTTTACTCTCACCTTATATTGGAGCCAAGGTTTTAAATTTCAAAATCTTCAGCCATTTTGGACCCTTACTACTTTTTTTTTAGTTTTGGTATTTCAGATGAAACTTTTCATTAAATATCAATTATTTAGTATTTTTAAATTTATGTTATTGGTTTTATATTATTATAATTATACTCAATAATTTCAGGAAAAATAAATGAACAAAATTGTGAAATTTTAGATAAAATTCCTAAATTGTGCCCAAAATAAGTAGCAATATATTTCGCATATGGTGTCAGTGGTGAGTGGCCTTGAAAGAAATCGAAAGTTCACAAAATTTAACTGACATATAAAACCATGATTTTTTTTACATATAAAACCATGATTGGAGCTATGCACAAGTTACATGAGCCATCCAGACCAATATTTTAATTTAAAAGTGTCCTAAAGAAATTCTTATTTTGGCCATATAAAAAATCATTTCAAGCTGAAATCCATCCTGTGAACATAGGGTGCAGACACAAGTAGGACTCTTTTGGCACCCTACCTTATTTCCATATGGAAGAATTTTGAGTCATCTAGATTGATACTCCGAAAGAATCAAAAAGAAATGCAAAAGGTCATGGATATCTATTTCATTGTCCAAGCAATATGGAGGCACACAGTAGCATCCAAGCAAAGAAGAGCCTCAAAAGCCAAGGGCATAAGTACACTTCCTTTCTTGCTTGCATAGATATGATGCCCAGACACAGATATGGACATGGACATGAATATGGGAAACAGGGATATAACCCTTCGTTTCCTAAAATCCTAGACACATACAGGTATAGGTATCCCATGTAATATGCTTATATTATTTCTTTATATCTAGTTTTTGAAGCTATGTCATTTCTCAAGACTTACATCATACCAAATTTAATTAAATTTCTAACATGTGCAGATTTTTTGTAATATACAAGTATAAATTGTTAAAGAATACCATTTTTACATATTTTCGAAGTGCTAATGCTATAAAGTACATCTAGAAATATCCATATAGTATTTGGTATAGTATCTGAAAGTACTATATCCAACACCAATACAGTAGGTAATATAAAGGTCCCTGATATCATATAATGCAATAAACAATATATTGAGCATTGGTGCACTCAAGCTATTGCAACAAGTAGCAGACTTATTTAGTAGGCCCATCTACATTTTACAACATATCAAGGTGTCCTACTTCTCTCATGGGGACGTGACAACTAAATCACATGGAATATACAACAAGTTCTCCAAGCCTATTGCCTGATAAGCTGATCCTATAGGCACGAATGCAACAATGTAAACAGTATATACCCCTTGCCCAACTACGCCTTGTATATTTGATTCCATTAATAGCAATAGGTCTTCCACATGAAAGGAAAGAGCAAAGCACCAATAATTCAATATTGAGTAGAAGTCGCTATTAGAAGCAACCAGTAGTAACAGAATTGCCAGACAATGGCATTGAAATAATACTTGGCACACCACCCAATGGGTCCATCTCACTGCCACAGCACTCAGACTTCACCTATCATCATCAGCAATTAAATACAGAGCTACTGCTGCTACTCCATCCATGGCCAAATTAAAGTAGGAGACAACTTCAACCAATGGTAGTAAGGGCTGATGATAACTCTTTTTCTTTCCTTCAGATGAATATGTACTTCTATTTTTTCTCTCTAGAGGTTTAAAAATAAAAGATCAATCAAGTACTTAAAAGACAACTAAGAATGATTCATGGTTGATAGTATACCTTTATTTTTTTTTTATTGTAGATAGTATACCTTTATTTAATGTATTTCAATCTGCAATTAGAAGAACTACTCCCTTTGAGATCTAGATTTGGCAATCTTAGACGACAAAAGTACCGACTTAGATACCTAAGGTCCAGCCATGGAGCAAGAACCAGTAGAAAAATAACAAAGAACTCAGACTTCTTTCTGTCCCTCAAAAACAGAAAGTGAAAAACAAAGAAAATGCAGAGTTCTTTCTCTTTCTTCTCCAGGTGTTCCACACTTCTTTTTTACATTCGAAATATCAAATCTAATCGTTATATAACAAATACAACGAAAAGGTTCAAATTAATGGAGAGTTCTACATAAAGGAAGCACGGACAAATTCACTTACTAGACCCAAACACCTTTTATATTTCCTTCCGGATTAAATAACCACCTCTTAAAATAAGGCAACATTAGAAAAAAGTAAAAGAACTATGGGCAATCATAGTAAGTAGGCTAATGTCTTCATTAGTCAACGAATCTACACTGTTCCTGAACCATCAAACAGTAACCCGATCAACTTCCCACAGTATTCGGATATCATGGCTCATTACCAGGTATGTACCTTCTGTACCAAATCATCAGTAAATTCGAGTAACAAAAACATATCAAATTTGTTCTAAAGATTTCAACAACGACACGAAGAATTCACTATACAGAATACAGTCGAGAAAATAACGAACCCTAATATCTCTACCGAACGAAAAAGTCAAACAAACAAAACAGAAAGAACAAAAGGCGAGGGAGAAAGGACTCTTCTTACGCAGCTCCTCGGGAGTTGAGAATTGCCTTCGACCCGTAGGCTTGCCCTTGAATTTTCCTCTTCCCATTGTCGACAAACAGAGAATTTAAACTCCGATATGAAGCCGAACAGGAAGAAGAAGAAGCAGCTTGCGAACTCTTTTCTCCGCTATTCTCGACCTCTGTCTACTTTTTACCCTTTCTCTTTGATTCGGAAACCTACTGCGGTACGGATTTCTCTTCAAGCTCCAACTCTCCAAGCAATCAGCTGTCGCGGGAAATCTGTTGATGTAGCGGGAGTACTGCAATCACTGTACCTTTTTTTTTATTTATTGGGCCTTATTATTTATTTACTTGTTTGAGTTGTTTCTGCCTTCGTGCACCGTATCTAACTTCGTGCAAGGAAGAATTCGCATCTGCTTCCCATAGAGGGTGCGCCCCACAGCATATCCAAACCGTGTATTGCGAAAATCTCCCACCGACAAATTCGGAAGACGTTTTTCATGCACACTGCACACTGAGAGGAAAAACTTTAGCTGTTGGAGGTATACTGTTTAAGAGAATTTTTGGAAATGCCACGTTATTATCATGAGAATGGATAAATTTATAATTATATATTTATTTATTTTTACTAAAAATCAAATATAGGCATGAATGAGTGAACTGCCAAGAACGTGCTAATCCCAGAAACTGTCTCAACACTAACGGCCAATGCTATTGCCCCAACAGCCAAAGTTAATCCCACATTGAGATGTTCTTCATGCACACTAAATTGTACATGTGGAACGGCTATATGGGGAGACTGGATCTGCTCCTCACATTTGGTGTCTCACACGCACATCCTATCATGCATTGGAACATTTTCCATACTTATTAATGAATATTTATGGGAGATGTTCACAATCCACAATGGATGTGCTTGTGAGGCGCCCATTTGTGAGGAGCAGATCCCGTCACCTATATGGGGTGCAGATGTGATTTCATTCTAATGAGATCTAGGGAAGACCATATCTGCTCCTCACACTTGGCGCCTCACACGCACGTCCTATTATGCATTGGGAACATCTCCTATATTTATTAGTTATTATTCACGGGAGAGATGCTCCCAATGCACGATGGATGTGCCTGTGAGGTGCTCATTTGTGAGGAGCAGTTCCCGCTTCGATCTGGGGGTTATAATTTGCCGCTTGTCCTTTGTTAGAGCATCTGGATGGGCCTACCTGATAGATCGATGGGGCCCAAAATAGCGTGCAAACATTATTACCATCTAAAGTTGGAAGAAAGCCCCATGAATATATATATATATACTAAAACAGGACCTGCCATTTCAGCATGTCTCTCCTTTGAGAGAAGCTATTTATCTATTTTCTCCTTTTTTTGAATTTTTTTATTTTTTTAATTTCATATCATTTTTTAAACAATCAATGAGATGCACTTTCCCAATAACCTAAATAATCTCTTCTCCTAAAATTACTCTTAAACTACCTCCCACACTTTCCCAATAACCTAAATAATCCTCTCTCATACTTTTTATCTATATCTATCTAAAGAAAGTTTGGGTTAAAAAATTTAAGAATTATTTAAATATTCTAACAAAATTATAAAATAACTTTAAAATATTTATTAAAAACACAAAAAAATAATTTTATATTTTTACAAAATATATCGAGAAAATTATGTACTAACAATTTAAATTATGTTTTTCTGGATTATCAATTTAAATGTTTTTTAAATATTTAATAGCTTTAAATAAATAAAATTCAAATAACAAAATTAAATATTTTATAGATTATTTAAATATTTAAATAACTAAATATTTATCATAATTAGAATTTAAATAGTTAAAATAACAAAATCATGTAATAAATTTAAAAAATTTCTTCAAAGTAGAAAAATAATTATAACATAATATTTAAATTAATAATAATTTGATATGTTATAAATTTAATAATGACATTATGTAATCATAGTATAAATTATGATTTTATGGAAAATTAAATTCAATAAATAATTAACATTTTTAAATTTAAATATTTTACATATTATTTAAGTATTTAAACAACTAAATATTTTAAATAACAAAATATTTAACATTAATATATTTTAAATATTTAAAATAAATAAATTATGTAATAAATTTAAAAAATCTAAAAAGTAGAAAAATAATTATAACATAATATTGAAATTAATAATAATTTAATATTTTTACATACTATTGTAAATAATTAATTTCACTTATATCAAGTAATAATTCGAGAAAATAACTTTCAAAAAAATAATATTTATTAATTATAATTTTAAACTCTTAATCTATATTTATTATATAATTATATATACTAAAATTAATATTTATTGTCTTTTGTGATAAATGTATTTCAATAAGTATGTATAAATATATTTTGTTAAGTTATTTAATAGAAAACTTTCAATAATTATTGGAGATTAAATTACTACTATTAAATTTTTTAAATTTATTTTATTATACTTATTGTATTTATTGTGTTTTTGTTATAAGTTATTGATTAATATTTAGTAGAGATTAAACTATCATTTGAGATTATACTATTTATTGACTAAGTTAATATATTTTTAATACTTATTGTATTTTTGTAATTTCTGTAATTATTGTAGTTTTCATTATCAATATWTTTTCAATARTTGTGTATTKTYKCTATAAATTTTCAATAATATGGGAGATTAAACTATTGTTATTTATTAGAGATAAGACTATTAATTTAGCTAAAATTATGAGTGTTCATGAGTTGGTTCGGTGTGGTCGTAGGCTATTTGGCCAACCAAATTGACCTGGTCAAGTCAGGGAGTTGGTCATCTGAAACTAACTAACCTTTTGTGAAAACTAATCCATTCAAGTTGTATTGGTTTGGATCGATTTTTTGGTTTGGTCAATCTGTTCAAAAGATTTAAACTTAAAAATTTAATTTAATTTCAAAAATTATAGTGCAATTATTAAATAATAAATTTAAAAATTAGATTCATGATAAAACATTTTAGACTAAGAAATATGGGAAAATTCCCACTTTTTCATATTTAAAATATAAAATATTAATATATATACATGGTTAGGTCGTTCGATTTTAGTCGGTTTACAAATGGCCAAAGTGGAATTGATCCAACTTAGTCGAATTGGGAAATTTTTTAACCGAAGCCAACCTAAAATACTAGAAAACTGACTAACTTGGGTCAAATTAATTAGGTTGGTTGGTTTCATCAGTTTGATAAATAAACCTAACTGAAATTAATTATTGTTATTTTTGTATTATAAAAATTTTATTAAAAGTAGTATATAAAATATGAATAATTATTAATTATTTAAAAAGTTAAAAATATAAAACAATTGTATACTCTTATGTGTTTCTATTAGAGTCATTTATTATAACACACTTTTAGGAATGGCAATTTTTCCCATCCCCAACGGGGACCTGGCTTCCCCGACCTAATGGGGCTAGGGATGGGGATTGTTTTGGTGGGGCGGGGGCAGGGGTGGGGACAAGGATTAATAGAAATCCTCGATCGAGGTCGGGGTCGGGGATGGGAATTGAGGTCCCCGCCCCACCCCAACCTCGATTATATATATATGTGTGTGTGTGTGTGTGTGTGTATTAAATGTTATTTATATTAAATACACTAATTTGTATTATATATATCAAAACATATTTAAAACATTATTTATAGTTTAAAAATACTATTATTTGAAAACATTTTGGGGATTCAGGTCCCCACGGGGAACCCATCCCCGTCAAGGATCGGGGATAAGGGTTAATTTCAGAATCAAGGTTGGGGCCTTAGGCCTACAATTTCATTAAGGAGTGTTTGTTTTTCCCTTAGGCCAATGATTTTTTATTCCAAAAATACACCTAACACTTTTTTTTGTATAAAAACAAAATAGAACAAATGTAGCAAATAGAGTGGTTTCCCATGTCTTATTAATGGCAAAAATGGTATTTTTATTTTTATTTTCTTGTGATTAAATTTATTTAAATGAACATTAGGTTCAACATTGTCATTTTCCACCATTGCAAATTATAAGTGATGTTTTAGTAAAATGCTAACTATAGGGTAGATTTTAGTAAATCCATAAAACTATAAGGGGTATTCTAGTGTATGCCCATTTTTATTATTTAGCTTTCTCTTAATAAATCCCGTGCATCGCACAGGTCCCCGCTATATATATATATATATATATATCAATCCTTATCTTGAGCTTTGTCGGTCATTGATGGACACATGGACAATGATTTTTCAAATATGGACAAAGTGGCATAAGTCTTTGGGGGCGTAACCCACTACGGGGGCCCATGCTACACGCAATATGCCACCAAAATTGAACTGTTGGGTAGAGGTGTAAACCGGGCTATGTTGGGTTGACATGGCATGGCCCACATGCAGTTTGTGCAAAGTGCGGACCAGACTGGGTCTTGCTTCCTTTCCTTGGGATACTTCATGGGGTCAGTCCGGCATGATCCATAGCTCAAGCCCGTGTGGACCCATGCTAGGCCAGGCTAGACGGGCTGCGGACTATGTAGTGGGTTGGCCCATGTCAAGCTGCTATGGGTCAAGCCTTGGGCCTAGGTTGAACCAGGCCAAACTTTTTTTTTGACATTTTCATTTTTTATTTTTTTGCTAAAATACTTCACTTTCCTTAATTTAATAATTCCTTTGAGCTTTGGAAACAAATTGAAAAACTAAAAAATCTAACAAAGAAATTTAAAAAATACTTAAATACTTAACAAAATACAAAATGGACAACAAATTGGAAAACTGAAATTTTATTTCTTGAATTTAAACAATACAATGGTTAATGAACAATGGATGAATGAAATATAGAAAATGAAATAAAATATAAAAATATAATATAGTTATAAATTAAAAAAATACATTATTGAAAAAAATAACAACTAATATAAAAAAAATTGAAAAAAAATATAAATTTTAAAAAATGAAAAAATTATAATAATTGAAATAATGAAATATTGAGTATACAAAAAAAAATAAACATATTAACTTCATCATTTTTCTTCAAGTTCCACCTCCGCCTACATCTTCATCTAATCATCTCCTTAATTGCCATCATCTGCTTCAGATGAAACATCGGGTGTAATGGCATGCCCTCTTTTGTCTTGTAATTTATCCTTAGCATCCAACCAATTTTAAGGCAAATGCACATCTCTAGACTTTCACCATTCATATACCTTCTCTTGTCGTCCAGCACCCTAGTACCTGCACTAAAACAAGACTCTAATGGAAATGTAGACACCGGAGGGGTTACTATATCACGTGCCATGGCAGCAAGGACTAGATAATTTTTTTTTTCATGCCCACTCCACCAGGCTAAAATATCAAAATTACCCCATCCCTCGTCGTCGCATGAATCAATCAAAGTAGAAATACTTGCTTGTAAATAAAAATTAAGTTCAATAAATGAACTTGCTAATGAACTGGTAGTAGATTTCT